TCAATTGTAGGAAGAAGAACTGGTGGGCTCCTTTTAAACCGCAGATGATGGAGGCTTTTTAAAGGGGAACCCCTTTTTCTGACGTTTCTAATATTTAAGACATAAGACGGAGAGAAACGGCAAGCTAGAGAAGCTAGAGGTCCAGCCAATAAGGGGGGAAAAAACCCAATAAACTCTTCATTTCCATCTGCATCGCTTAACCCAGTCTTTGTACAAGGGCTGCTTTTGGTCACCAGCTGTTTTTTTTTTTTTTTGGCAATAAAAAAAACAAAACTTTTAGTTTCCTTCAAAAAACTCTCACTGCTGTTTTGAAACAGCCATTATCTCCAAATGGATACCAGGCAGGTTCATAAACATTGGCTGATATTTATCTAATTCCAAGCTTTTCTTTGTGATTATGCTTATTGTGTAGAGAGTTCTGATAAAGGTACACCAGCAGTGTATTGTCTGACCCTAGTTTAACCTCGGTCACTAAATTAGCTGGTTTTTGGATAATCTGAGGGTAATCTAGGGCTCCAAAGGCCATTCCTCCAGAACTACTGTCCGGCAACACTGCACGTTTTGATACTCCAGAGATTTTTGGCAGCAGCCAAGCAGAATTTTTAAAGTGCTTTTAAAAACAGCAGGGAGGCGCTGACTTAAAAGTTGAACAAAAAGGAAGATTTAGAAACTAGAAAAGCACCAGAGCACAAGAACCTCTGCCAAGCAGCAACGTTTGCCCTTTTTTGTCACTTAAAACTTTCCCTTGAATTGGATAATTTTCCCTCTTTAATAAATTGTTAATATGCATTAGAATTTAACATGGCTGCCCTGGGAGAGGCACAGTGTGTGTCTGCAGCCTCTGGTGTCTGTTCTGCTCTCATGTCTTTGACAGACGAAAAAGTTTTTTTTAATCTTAAATGCAAAATGTTTACAGATTTGTTTTACAATTTTGATATAATTACTGCTCTAAATTGGTTGCTCTGTCAGCTAAAGGCATGTTTTACAGTCTATACTCCATTTAACAATTAATCAGTTACTAAATAAGTTGATGATTATTCCAGTAATAGATTAATGACAATAATTTCATTGTTTCAGTCCTAGTGGTATTAAGTGTTTGTAAGCAGTGTTCAAACATTTTATCTCAAACACTGAAATGCTAAGTGTAAGACTGACTAAATGTCACATAAAGATGAAAAAGGCTATCAAGCTTTTTTTTAGCAGCCACCATGAATGCAGATGTTTGGTATGGTGGTGTTTTCCTGACCAACTTGTTTTTAAACTTTCATGGGCATTCCTCTCGAAACTTAAAATTCTGAGGATGGAACATCTGACGTTGGAGGAGAAATGGAAAACACTGCACTACTATAAGTATCCAGTAATGCTCTGGTGAAAAATAAAGTCATAGTGGATGCCAGTGGGGGCTAAATTTTTTAATATGCTGTATTAAATAAGCTGTAAAGCATCACATTTTAAGATTTTATTGTGCAAGCTGTATTAAATGCTGACTGAATGAACAAAAAAATTAAAAACATTAAGCTTATTCAGTAGATATAACAATTACTCATTAAATAACTGAATAAAAAAAATAGTTTATTGGCTCAGTCCTTTTCCAAAATACAGAGACATTAAACCAACATGAGTTTGCTGCACTGAAATACTGTCAGACAATTTGCCACTGTTTCAGTGAAGAGGATGCTAACTGTTATATAGCTCTCTGTCTGGTGGGAGAGACTTTGTGCTGTTAAGTGCTTTTAAACTAGGGATTCCGATTGCTCTGAAAGGGCCATTAAAAGCTGGCTCCATGAATTGCATAAACTCACAAAAGTCGCCCTAATCTACAGTACTCAATGCAGGCATGTTTCTTTTCTATCATATTACAAATGTTTTGCATAATGCCCTCAACCTTTCTGTCATAAAATCCTCACCTTCAAACGCAGCGAAGAAGTTGCGCTGCTCCACACTGCAGCATGCCTAAATGGGCACTATTTAGGTAATAAATTAAGGAGTTTATCCAGTGTTTACTTTTGCAAACAGAACATCAAATTGTATTTTGCATCCTCATCACCAATGAATGTTATAAATAATCTCAGATTGGACTGTTGATTAATTCATTTTTTCTGCTTTTGCGTGCTTCAGCTACAGCATTACTTTCCTTGCAAATACTAGGCTCCGCTTAAGGGTGAACAGTGACACCCTCTACTGGACGGTGTCAACACGGAAAGAAACTCTTTCCAGGGGACATAATCAATTAATCAGATTAAAAACTTTTATTAAAATGAACTATTAATTTACAATAACAAGTCAATTATTTATTTACATTTCTTGGTCAAATTTTAAATGTCTTCTTCTTTAAGACATGCTTTAACAGTTCTAAAAAAAAAAAGTTCCAACTGAGTTTTCTCCATCTTTTTTAAATCGGCTTTAGTTGTTTACACAGCTGGATCTCAAAGCATTCATTTTTGGGATAAAAATTAATTTATGCATTTTCCCAAGCTCCATTCATATCAGTGGGATGACACACTGGCTGTGTATCATCATTATGTGGATCAAAGGTCACCAGCTTTACAGCCATGCCATTCTCTCTCTGCTTTGTATGCAAACACAATCAGAGCTCGTGTCGCAGGCAGGCACCGATTGTTGAGCAAGATTATCAGCATGTCCCACACAGCTTCAGCAAGTCCCGGAGAAAAGGTGTTTCCACCTTCAGGAACGGGGGCTGTCCTTTCCCTTTAATTAATATAAAGTCTGCTGGTTCTGTCAGCTGTGTGCATGACAGAGAGAGAGGTCTGTAACAACATGAGAAACAAATAAACAGATGTCACAATGGAGTAGGGCTGGGCGATAATTCAATAACGATATATATCGATCTATAGACGTGTGGCGCAATAGAAAAAAAGAGGGTCGATAAAAGTTCGATAAAAAAGAAACGCTGTTTTCCTTCCTTCTCATTGTAGCCTAGCATGTAGGTTTATGCTAGTCACTGCTTCCTCCCAACCAATCACAATCGCGGACCCAGGCATGCCGTCACCAAGCGCCGCCCTCTCAAACCACAACACAGAGCACATGAAGATGTAGCAGCAAGGAGAGGCGGAGGAAATTGTTTCAAAGAAATGTTTTTGTAGTTCGGCAGTCTGGCAGTATTTCGGTCATGGCAAGTCGGACAAAAAACAAACCACAGTCATCTGTAATGTATGTGTCGGGAACCAGTGAAACCACTCTGATAACGCAACCAACTTTTTTTTTTTTATCATCTCAGCCGCTCACACCCGCAGGAGTACGAGCTGTGTAGGCCCCGACGCGGCTCTCCTCCGAGGAATCTTCGGGAAATATATATATATTTTCAGTTCTAGGCAGTTTCCCACGTAGTTCTAACAATTGAGATAAAAATGCTGAGGGGCCAGAAACTTCAAAGTAATAACTCAGGTTAAAGCAGGAAACTATCTGAACCAGGTTCAGCTTAGAGGAATGGGGGCGGCGGAGGGATTTATTTATTTGTTATATTTATTTTGGTCACTTTTCTGGTCACTTTAATTTATTCTTTGTCAGTATTTAATAATATAACTCAGGTCTCTTAAGTTATTTTTATTTAAAATAATTCTGTTATGGTTAAAAAAGTTGGTTAAATAAAGATCTAATTGGAAGTCTGTGTTTGTGTTTTTTATTAAAATTAAATCATTTAGCAATATCATAAAATGTCCAGGCAGAGCTGCACCTAAAATATGGTTTCAAATCTTTTCAATAATTATCTATATCGATCAATATACATTTTTTTTTATCGATAAGCTTTTTTTCTATATCGCCCAGCCCTACAATGGAGGACGATTTTCATCAACCAAAGCATAAGGATGACAGTCAGATAACATGAAAAAATAATGCAATTGAATAGATTCAGCTTTAAAGTTACTATATGGTATTTGATGTTTATTTTTTTAGTGATGACATCACTAAAATATGTTAAGCCTTAATTCTCTGTTTTCTGATAGTGTAGTTTTCAACTAACTTTTCATTTTTCAGCGATGGTAAAGTGCTCGGTGTAATGCAAAATGCGAAGGTGCGTTGGGGATTGTAAACATAGGAAGACATTTAGTCATATACCTTATTCTTAAATCAGAATTGGTATCGGTTTTTAATTATCACAATAAAAGTAACACTAAAAGTGTTTTATAAACTCACCAGTCATCATCTGCATGCACTGTACAGCTCCTCGAATCAGATTACAGCACAGGAAAAAAAAACTTACCGCTATTAGATGAGCTACTTCATTAAAGCAGTACCTGTTAATCGGTTTGTAATTATTACATTCATATTTTTTAGCTATATTTACATTTAGAGATTCTTTAATGGAAAAATCACTTAAAAAAAGCACACAAAAAAAACAACAACAAAAAAACAGCAAAAGTAGGGCTGAGCAATCAATATGAAAAGAGACACTTAACCATTATCAATAGAAAATATGTTTGATTTAGATTTTTTTTTTTATTTCTCTAAACTTTGATCTAGAACTACATAGCATTCCGGGCAATGTAGGCAGAGGAAAGGATCTAGTCTCTCAACCTCTCATAGACAAACTTCGTGTGGTTGGTAGTAGAGCTGACCTATTTTCAAAGGTCAAAGATTATAATTAAACAGGGTTAGTGTTAGAGCTTAGGCTCTTTTTCTCGTGGTCCTTACATAAAATATGTAAACAAAATGCTAATAAATAGCTAAGTCCTAAGCAAAAATAAAGATTCATGCATGCTTTGTTTTTTTTAGTGGTTCAGGCCAACTTTGACCAGTTTATCATCACAAGTACTTGCTCACATCCCTTTTAGCGGTTAACTTTTAAAATAATTTATATTTCCTTTTTTGCAGGCCTGAATCAAGCCTACATGTTAACTATTCGCCGCTGTGTCACATCCCTGTCTCTGAGGGTCACTGCCCTTCAGCCTGCTTCTCCTGCCCACGCGTGGCAGCTGATATTTGACAAACATTACTGTTCTAATCTGACGTGTTTCTGTCTCCATCTGCTCCCTCTGAAGCTTACTTGGTGACACAGAGACTTCTCCCTGAGGAGCCAAGAAGCAGACGGCTCATGACTTCTGACCAGGACACGAAAGTTGTCGCTGAACCACAGGTGCAGCAAGTACAAGAGGCAAAAGAGAACTCTCATTTGGTGAGTTTTTGTTTTGTTTTTTCCCTCAGTCTGGACAGGCTTTGCTAGTAGTGGTAGTAGCAAATCTGTTTTTGTTTTAGCTTACAGTAGCAGAAACAAAGGTGTATAATTTGGTCTCACCTCTGGCAGTTTAAGCAGTTTGTTTCCAATAAACCAACCCGTGGAGGTAAAACTGGGGCAGCAGTTGGATAAAGTGCAGCTGCTGCATCTGCAGCCTGAGGCTGTGCAGTAGTTAAGGTTAAACCCTTGTTATGTTGGGATGGTTATGTAGCCTGTATTGTTATCTCCACATTGTGCTGGGCTCTCTAAGGGTGTTTAATCAGTGCTGATCTCCCACACTGATGGTGCTTTATAAAGGAATGTTTGGTTCATAATGAGGAGGCAGCTCCTGTAACTAAAGAAGTGTGACCTGCTTTTATTTCTCTCCTTTCTCGAGGCTGTAGCTCCACTTTTCATCCCAGTTATGGAGTTCTTGATTGTTGTTAAACTATCAAGGAGACGAGGAAAACTAAGTGGTGCATCCTAAATTGAGCAAAGCAGAAGGTTATTTAAAGTGTTTGTTTTTTTATAGATTGTGACTGTGAGACGAACAGAAACCTTAATAGACTGCAGCTAGTAGGAAGGGAAAGTAGCATCTAACCTTTTCACTACAAGGTTACTGAAAAGCCCTTCAGAATGTTGTTTTATGTCTGCTAATCAACACCATGCTTTATATGAATTTAGGAATTTTTGCAAGTTTGCAAACAATTTTTGCAATTTAGTTTTCAGCACTTGTTGGATTATATGACTAAACCAGAGTTTGAAGCAGTGTTATTTAATGTGTTTTTAAGCCCTTGGAAAGTTTGAGCTTGGTCAGAAAAGTTATAAAGTTTGTATATTTGGTTTTATGGGCAGAGAGCAACAGTGGTTGGTCAAGATGACATAGTTAAGTGATGTTCAGTTTGATCTTGTTTTCCAGATCTAAAACTCTTCAATCTTTTAATTGTTATGGAGAAGTATGATTTTAGAACTTGTTGGGGGGGGGGACTTTGTATGGATCTGCAGTTATATTCGAAGCAAATATTCTATAACAATGAATGTGTGACTGTGAAATAGATTAAAATTGAAAAACAACTCTGTAAAAACTGCTGAGCAGCTAATATTGTTTATGACCAAGACATTTAATATTTTACAGATATCTCATTGGTTTTCACCATAATATTAATGAAAAAGTTTATGTTACATCTCTGCGTCGTGGTGGCTTTTGCTTTGTGATAATAAAATCTGCTGAAATGTGAAATCACCCAAACCCAGATATCTCGGTTGTTTGGTGGGTGCGTCTGGAGGAGTTGAAGTGCGCAGTGGGTCTTGCTCATCACGTAAATCAAGGTCCGGCTCTTCTGTCACACTGATGGAGGGGAAGCTTCAGCCTGTTATTATTTAAGAAACCATTCTTAGAAAGGGTTTCATGAGGCTCGGTCTGAGCCAATAGTTTATCACCCTGCTCCAACGAGGCATTGCTGCAGTCATCAGTCACTCCTTCACTTTGATCATTGATGTTTAGGAAACAGCCGTTATCGAAGCTGTTAACAAATTACTTTGGGTTGATGAGCTAGAAACATCCTTTACGTTATAAGATTCATACTAGTGTTCTCTATTAACAGCCCATAATGTAATCTGCTGCCTGTCTGTTTTATTTTTGGAGATAATTTGTTTAATCGTACAACAGCAATTAAATACTGCCGTTGATTTCTTTTTCCCCTGTGCCTCCTGAGCTTTGAATGTGGTGACGTCAAATAATTCGGATTAGATTAATTATGATATTTGGAATAAATTGACGACTATACATGTTGTCGTTCATGGCTAAAAGTGAAAAAATAGTATTGTCTCTAACTTTAAAGCTTTATTCTAACTAATTACTTAAACAATCAAGCACACATTTAACTGAGGCTTCAGCAGATGATTTTAGTTTTTTTTTATTAAAAAAACACCCACAGTCATATCTGATTATATTATGGTTAACGTGAGCCGTGTTTTTAAGATTAAAGAAAGAAGATAACCTTTAAGCAAGTTTTAAATGTATCTATTTTTAAGCCCTCATTTTTTTGTATGAAGTATTTTTCTGGTTTGATGTAAACCAATACAGAATTTTTTTTGTGAGCAGACATCTCAATTTAAACTAACCAAACACATTAGTAAATCAAAAATATGAGGAAATCCCGCAGAACTTTAACAATGGATCGCAGGTGGAGAGAGCAGCAATGCGTGCAATTCACACGATCTCAAGGCATCGCTGTAAAAAAATTATTCTTAAATTAAGAGTAATTATCCTTAATTTGAGTAGGTAAATAAGATGATATGCTGATGGAATCAGCATTCTTACCCTTAAAATAAGATGAGATAATACTCACTTATAATACCTCTGGTATTAACATTATTTTGTATGGCTGACAACTGATATTTGTTGATCTTGTATATATTTCCTTCCCCTTTCGACATGCTGAAGTAAAACACCCCTGGCATTGCTTCTCCACCTTAGTTAAACATATTATAATCCTGCTCTGCATTACTATTACTTTCATACATCAAACAAACTGCACATGGCTAACCCCCTGCAGAAACACAAACAACACCAAAATGGAGATCATTAAAGTTGGCCCCATAGAAACACGACCGATATGTTTATAAAATGACCAACATCAGCCGATATTGAAGTTAGTGCCAATATACTGTTTATCCTCAGGGACTGATGCTAGAGACCTAAAGCTAAATAACAGGAATGGTCTGTTATTTCTCTCCTTATGTCCTTTGAAACTGTGTAGATCTCTGTATTAATGTAAACCTCGGTTTGATGGTCCCATTAGATTTAAGATGAAATGACTTTAATTGCAAAGTCTGTACATGCAAGCAAAATAAAAGTACTTGCCTTACAGTTGGATTTCAATTAAGATATTTAAATTTAAATATAGAAATAAGGAGAACAGATTTGTGTATTTACATTTCTATACCAGAGTTAAGAGGGTTGGCTTTCTGTTGCTCTTTTGTAAAATATTGATCCAGTCTTTCTAAAGTGTTCATAAGACTGACAGCCTGGGGAAAGAAACTGAAAAATGAAGGGTTTTCTCCTGACGTATGATGCAGTGGTACTCCTCCCCTACCCGTTGCTGTTACATGAGGCATGTTTACAGTCATGGTGTGGGAACTAAAGGGGTGTCGGTCTTATTTACATAAAATGACTGAATCAATACCCAGGTAACTGAAATGTTAGTCCCAGTGTTCATATCTAAGGACAGAGCAACTGTCATGTATGTTTTGCAATATTTACACCTGAAAACTATGACGCTTGAATGAAGAGGTCTTTCCTTTGCTCTTAATAAATTCCTTCCAGTTCATCATAACACAAAGATTAAATTCAATACATAAAACTAGAAATAATTATTTTTCTAGTAGCAAAATTAAAATATTATAAATATTATATATATTTTTTTTTTAGAATAATATTGAATTTTGGTTAATTTAATCTTAATAAATGTTGATTTTATCAGCTGATCTCAAATTTGACTGAATTGAATCTGTTTTGCAAAATATGGTAATTTTTTTGTAAAATTAACTATTAATGCCAATATTGTCATGGCATTAATTAAATAAAAAGTATAGTACAAACAAAGTCACATCCACCATCGTATAAAGGACAAGTCTCTGGTTGTTTCGCAGTTCATGAGAACGCGAATAGGGACTTGTATCCTCGCCATTTATGTTCTTGAGAAGAACACTAGAAAGTATGGATTTGGTGAGAACGGGAGCGTGCAGCATAAATATGGGTCAATTGGAACAGAAGCGTACTTGTGACATCACCACATGCCCGGCTCGTCTAGAGCTGCATTTCTCCTCCTGTTATTAATAGTCTCTAGATAATAATAAATTATTACTTTTTTCATTTAGTGGCGGAATAATAATTAACACAGATAACACAGATAGCAGAACTTTTAAATTGCCAAAAAACAGCTACTTCTGTTATTAATGAAGACTCATATCCGGTGTCTGATTTAGCCTACCTGGTTCCTTGTTTATTGTAAATTAGATGTTGTTTAGTTCTGATGTAGACCTACCATACAGCTACATTATTTGCTTTCAGGATGGAACTGAAACCTGAACATGTAGAGGGTTAAAGAAGTGTTTGTGCCAAAGTGGTTCAGATTTTACCCCTTTCTGTCTGGGTACCCCATCCGCCTATAGTCTCAGAAGCCTCCTTGTGTTGCATAGACTGGCCTACATGGAGCTGCATAGAGCTGCAGCTTTGATTGATGGCAACACTTGGTCGACATCTGCAGCGACTGACTGGGCTAAAAATGGGCTCTATGGGCGGGACGTCCTAACGATATACAACCAAATGCTGGGGAACTGTCTCTAACAAGTAACCATGGTATCATTTAAGCTGCTGGTTGGTTAGAGGTCGAGTTCATTTGTTTGTGCTTTTCTTGCACTTGAATGGACGGTTGTTCTAGTTCCATTAAAAGCCTACATTTAGAACTTGAATGGCAAATCTGCTGTGGCAGTATTTACTCCATTAATCTGGTCTGAACTTTGTTTTGTGCTTTGGGGTCCACTGTTCCTGATCAGGCCTGTGGATGGTGTGGTTTATTGTACAAATAGTTCTCTTAATTGGCTACTTGGAATAGAAAATGTTTTGAAACTCAGTAAATGAGTAAAAATAATGCTAATAATAACATTTTTCACAAAAATTAAAATAGCATTTTTTTGGCAATTGAAACCAAAATTGCAATTTTATTGTATTGTCCCCCTCCCCCCCCCCCCCATGTTTAATGTTAAATATTTTTATGTTGCAAATTGAGTGCTTCTGCAATTTTATATATGCATTTTGTTAAATTGCAGTTCTATTGCAAATCCAACTAATTGATTGTGCATCCATAGTAAAACTCCACTGGTTTGCCCTCTGACATAGAAAGGATTTGTACCATGCAAGCTGCAAATTTGGAAAAGGACAGGGCATGTCTTTTTAG